AGAAGTAAGAAGTAGAAAAAGTAGAAGTAGAAATAGAAATAGAAATAGAAGAAGAAGAATAAGAAGAAGAAAGAGAATAAAATAAAAATAGGAAAAGAAAGAAAACGAAGAAGACAGAATACGAATGGGGGTGGAAAAGGACGAAAGGAAGGTTCGCGTCGTGCGAGACGAGATCGCAATGAAAGTCAATAAACCGTGATGAGTAACCGTGGAGAGGAGTAGCGGTCAGAGAGTGGCATTAATAAATTAGTGTCTACTTGCTGCTACTGCTGTTGGCGTTGCTGGAAGTAGAGGAAGAGGAGGAGCAGGAGGAGGAGGAGGTGGAGAAGGTGGTGGAGAAGGAGGTGAAGGAGGAGGAGAAGGCAAAAGAGGAAGAAGAAGAGGAGGAGGAGGAGGAGGAGGAGGAGGAGGAGGAGGAGGAGATATAAGTGGTAGAAGCTTCGTTCGAGGTGGTGGAGGTGTCGTACGTAGCGTATACGTGCGAACGCGCGCGCGCACGTATTCACATACATACGGACATACGTAAACATATACATTAATAATCTACATGTACATAAGTCAATTTATATATACATATACTTAAAATAATATAAAGTATATAATAATCCAAATTGCATATACCAATATTGATATAAAAACATGCATACATGCATACATGCATATATAAAAATAAGACTATATATATGTTTATATATATATGTACACTTATAATAATACATATTGTTCAAAAACAAAAGAAAAGAAAAGAAAAAAAAGACTCATCATACGTACTCGTACATACATAATCAAAATGTTTATACTCTACAAATTAAGTATACGTACATTTATTAAAGTATATAAACAAATATACGTATATAAATATATACATATATTCTAAATCGAAGATTGAAGTATATATTATACAGTAGATCTCTCTCTCTCTTCTCTCTCTCTCTCTCTCTCTCTCTCTCTCTCTCTCTCTCTCTCTCTCTCTCTCTCTCTCTCTCTCTCTCTCTCTTCCCCCGTATTGCACGCTCGTGTACACCTTCGTCGATGCAGGATTCCTTTAATGGTGTACATCAGTGTGACAGAAGAAGACAATTGAGCCGGCAGAGTCGAACGTCGGTGCTTGTCGGGGGCCTCCTGACGTCACATCCTGTTGCCCTGTTACTACTACTACTACTACTATTACTACTATTATTACTACTACTACTACTACTATTACTACTACTACTACTACTATTACTACTACTACTATTAGTACTACTACTATTACTACTACTACTACTATTACATCTACTACTACTGCTAACTGCTACTACTACTACTGCTAACTGCTGCTACTACTACTACTGCTAGCTGCTACTACTACTACTGCTAGCTGCTACTACTACTACTGCTAGCTGCTACTACTACTACTGCTAACTGCTAACTGTTACTACTACTACTACTGCTACTGTTAACTGCTACTATTACTACTACTACTTGTTACACCTCTTGCTGTTGCTGCTACTGCTACTGTTATGCTACTGTTATTGCTACTGCTATTATTGCTGTTCTGCTGTTGAACGATGAGCCGCGATCTCATTTGGACCACGGCGCACGAAGGTACGCAGATTTGTGCATCAAATGACCGAGACTACTAGTGAACAAACTATATACCCTTGATGCAACACTTCTAAGGTGTTTCGAGATCTCATGATCGATATCACGATTTAAATCTGTCTTTCCTTTTTTCTTGCATTCTTTTTTTTTTTTTTTTTTACGATTTCTTATTATCCGAGAGTTACCCCCTTTCTCTTTCTTTTTCCCTCTCACTAATTATTCTTCTATCTTTCCCTCCCCTTCCCACAGTTCACTCCTTGAAACACCCTGAGCCCTTATATACCATCGACGTTGATTTCGCTCTGATGAAATTAGATTGAGTTTAATGTGATTTAATTGAAATTGCCGTTGGAACTTGCTCTCTCTCTCTCTTTCTCTCTCTCTCTCTTTTTCTCTCTTTTATTGTCTAATACTTTGACACCAGTGCTCTTTCCTCCGCCATAAAATTTAAATGTTTTCGTTTATGTTACATGTTTTGTCAACGAGTAGATAATTAATTTCGTATATAAACGATATTTATTGGTTTTTATATATTTTATTATGTTATATTTATAAAAAAAAAAAAACTGTAAGATTTCCAGATTGCAATAATTCCTGACATATTGCTGAATTCAATTATGCCGAAGATTTTCTGAAGAAGACCGACTTGCTTCAGATATTTTCTTTGTTATTAGTTTTCTAATAGCTATTATGAAATATTAATGGATTTGTTAATTCGTGAATTTTGATCTACGTAAATGTAAAAAAAATCGAATGATCATTGGATTTATAGGAATCTAATGATCAAACTCAAGTATATATATCAACTTAATACAATCTTCTTACATGGAAATGTCGAAGATCACTCTGGTAGTTGTCTTGATTGCGCTTGAACGATCGTTTCCGTCATTTTCTACGATATTATGAACGACGATGTACACTTATCGGTTCTAAGATCCCAACGGAGAAGCTAAATCTTCCTCTTCTCTTTTCTTTTTCCTTTTTTTTTTTTTTTTTTTTTTTTTTGAAACTTAATAGTCCTATATTCCTGAAAAAAAAAAGAAAATTCTCAATCTCAATTAGCCCTCTAAAAGAAAAATTTCTAAACTTTGATCGTTCTAATCAAATCAGAAAAATACGAAAAAGAAATATATTATAAAAAAAATTTTTACAATAATTAGAAAACAATGACATTGTTTCAAATTTGACAGTAAAGTATGATAAACGATCACTATAAATTTCTTTGTTTTTTAGCTTATTTCTTCTTCTTAATAACACATTATATCTTTCAAGATTCTCAGATATATATTCGTGTCTGTCAATACATACATACATATATACGTAAATATATAAATATATAATATATGATATAATATATATTTATATATATACACATACATATATAAATATAGATACACATACTTGCACGCATACGTACACATACATGTGCACAGAATATGTGTACACACACACATATATATATATATATATATATATATATATATATATATATACGTTTCAATTTTAGAATTCATCAGACCAATGAGACTCTGTAAAATAATCCTTACCTTGAAATTTGACGAAAGGAAAATATAAAACAACGATGAAGACGAATTTTACGTTGAACTGAATATTACAAATAATTCATGTGCAAGTATACATTCGTATAAGTCGATTCATCCTATTTATCTTCCAGGAAGAATCGTTGATATTACGATACCAGGTCGGAAGTAGATACGAAGGACCGAAATTTATATCTATTGTATATAAGACGAGTCAGAGAGAGAGAGAGAGAGAGAGAAAGAAAGAGAGAGAAAGAGAAAGAGAGAGAGCGACAGAGATAGACAGAGCGACAGAGATAGACAGAGCGACAGAGATAGACAGAGTGACAGGGAGAGAGAGAGAGAGAGAGAAAGAGAGAGAGAGCTCTACTTCGACGATCCAATTCAATTGACCTCGTAGAATCGTTCATTGTGTGAGACTTTGACTCACGCACGATTATTCATCCAGAGTGGACGAAAGAACTGAATTTTATTTTTTTTCTCTTCTTTCCCCATTTGTTTTATTAATTTTACATAAATTTTTGATTTTTCTCTTCATAAATCTTTGATATTTCGAAATATTTGCCCTCTATATTTCTTGAAAAAAATATAAAGAGTTTCTCGAATGTTCAATAGCAATGCTTTTTAAATATGATAAGTGCACGAGTAAAATCTAAAAAAGATATTTGTTATAAATATTGTTTATAATGAAGAAATACAAAAAAAAAAGAATTCATAAAGAAAAAGTTTAATTATTCGTTATGAATATTATCCGTGCTACGAAATTATTTTAAATTATATTTTTTTGAGATCAGAACGAAAATTCCTAGATTTGCCAGATTTACGATTTGTCAATAAAAATATATAGGCCTAAAAAATTTCGAAAAGAAGTAATAAATTCTTAAAATCACCTAGAAACTTTTAGCTCACCTCGTATTATTTATTGAAATTTGCAATATCAAAAAATTCAATTTGACAAATATCACAAATTGACGCCATATTTTTGGCATTGAGAGTTGTTATAAAAAAAAAATTTATTTATTTCATACAATCAGGCACAAGTGGGGATAAAATTTTGAAATAACTTGTACGTAAGAATTTATTATTTTGTAACTTTAAATTGAAAATAACGATAGATATATAACGAGAGTTATATAATTTATGAACAACGTGATGTTTGTGTATTATGTACCTGATAAACAAAACGGAAGTCGTAAATCCAAAAGCGACTGTCGCAATCGTAAAAATGCATCTACAATAGCATATCGAGATGGGTTTTAACCAATGCGAGGTATACCGGAAGGATGAAGATTTTAAACGCTTTATGGAAAGATGCGTAGGCGCGTTGGTGTGTTCTGAATTTTAAAAGCTTTGTTCCATGCAAGAACGTGAGATCGATTCTAAACGTTAAAAAAAAAATAAAAAGCAAAATTAAAAGAATTGCTATTTCTAAATAATAATAATGATATATATATATATATATATATATATATATATATATATATATATGACTATTAAAAAGAATATATATATATGTATATCATAAATTTTAATTATACATTAATCTAATTCAAAAAATAAAACTAACAAAATTACTAAAAACCTCGAATATTCCAATAATAAATATCAATATGTTTAACAAATAAATTTTCCATTAAAGATCAATAAATTAAAATTAAAAAAAAATATATATATATATAAACATATACAAATATTCGAATATTTCAATAAAAAAATGTCAAATAGTTTGACAAATAAATATCGATCGTTCCATTAATCATCAATAAGAAAAAATTAAAAAAGAAAAAGAAAAAGAAGAAAGAGAGAATAAAAAATATTGACTATTGCAATAATAAATAAGACATAAAAAGCTTATATACATGGAATCGATTTTAGCGAATGAAGAAGGATGACCAGACGCGAGAAGAGGATCTTCGGGATCCTTGTCTTGCTGAACATCCTTGGAGAGGTTCCAGCGAATCTCACAATCTCCTCGGAATCAGAATCGATCGAGGAAACAATAGCAATCACTACAACGAAGAAACCAATACCAGAGAGATGCCTTGTGAAACAGGATCAAGGACCTTGCAAGCATTACGTACATAAATGGTCTTTTCATAAAACCGATGGGAAGTGCAAGACATTTCCTTATGGTGGTTGTTTAGGAAATGAAAATAGATTCAACTCTGAAGCTGAATGTCTTCACTATTGTATCGGTGGTCCTGATCGTGAGTATTATTTTAATAAACTATATTTATTATAAAAATGATTTATTTGTTTGTTAAATAGTTAATTGGCAAAAATGTCTGCCGTGAAAAAATATTTCTTGAACACGTAATTAAATTTTTAAACGAAAGATAAATAATCTGTTGTGACTAATTAAGATAAATTCCAAACAATTAATTCACAAAATGAAAATTATATTAAATGAAGTTAAATATAAACTGCGCGTACTATCACAAGCTGGCGTAGATTGATAATACACTGTCATAACATAAAATGATTGTTAGACACGCTACCCCCTTACTTGGTAACAAAAGGCAGCGTATTTGTGACAACGAGTGTTCCGACGAGCAGTACATCACCCACAACCACATCAAGTACTCCTAGGCCAACGTTCGCGCCACCTCAACCAACGAGACCACCAGTACCAAAGGAGAAACGAGGAAAGGTGAGGAAAATCTCAGACTCGTCTCAACCACTCTCCTCACATTGATGAAATGATAAAGCTAGCCCCGTACGACCGATTTTCTTTTTTCCCGGATTAAAAGGAATTGACGTTCATGGAATCAGGATACGAGAAGACGTTCATGTTCGCACAAAGTAACACTTTCATACAACTCGATGGCAGTGGTATAAAGACCTTTCAATTGAGGTATGAAAAAGTCTTTATATAGTCGTAATAGAAAAAATAAATAAATAAATAAAAATTAAATAAATAAAAAGGAAATGGATAATAAAGCAAGTCCAAATAAATGTCTCCTATCGTCACAGATTATGCCGTGAAATATCATTCAAATTTCGAACTAAATTACCACACGGTTTACTCGTCTATCATAGTGTGAAAGATCGTCCAGAAAGTTTAGAACCTTATGCTCTTTACGTGATCGTTGAAAAAGGCCAGTTGAAGGTAGTACACGTGTTCGGAAAGAAATCAACGAGTTTGACGGTTGGCGAAGGACTTAACAGAGACGAGTGGCACAGTGTTCTGGTTAGAATCGATGTTCACGGAGCAAAGCTTATCGCAAGAGTAGACGAAAAGCAATCGGAAACTAGCCTAGAAGTTCTTGAACGTGTCGTTAATTATGGCGTTTCCGAGGAATTGGCATCTGTCGTTCTTATTGGAGGTAAAACCTAATGAAAGGAAAATATTTTTTTCTATTTTACTATTTGCTCGTTCGATCTTAATAGTACAATATTATTTTACTTTGATTAGGATTGAGCTCAGAGGAACGTCTACATGGTGTTAAATACATCATAGAATCTTTTGTCGGCTGCATCAGAGACATGGTCCTTAGTTCCGGCAAGTCAGCAAGCGACCTGTTGCCTATTCTACCATTGATCGCAACTAAGCATGAAAATGTTAAGGAGGGTTGCATAGACAAGTACGTAACCTTCCTATTATTTGACCCTTTGAATTCGTGATAAGCATTTATAATACATTCCCACAGCAACCATAATATAATCCCACTGCATCTCTAATCTTTAGAGGGACTCTCTATAACCCAAATTTGTAATATCCTTCGAAAAAAGAATAAGATGCGTTGGTTAAACGAATAACATGATATATCAATTAACAGGCAAATTCTAAGGTGATTGTAATAAAAATTCTGAAATGATAATACAATAGTTTATAGAGAGTCACTGATCCGATCCAATTGATTTCTTAAAAATAAATCATATATCCAATCGTACTTCAGGTGCTGGACAAGGGAAAATCTTTGCTTCATGCCCGATCAATGCGTCAATCATTATAATAGCCTGACATGTGACTGCTTTGGAACGAAATATGAAGGCGAACGTTGTGACGTCTACAGTATGTAACAAAAGAAACATATTGTTGAAATAAGCTATTATTATTATTATTATTATTATTATTACCATTAGGATGTATGAGTTTTATATATATATATATATATATATATATATATAATATATATATATTATATGTATATACATAAGATTAGTATAGTTTCGTATGCCCTAACCATAAGTTAGTACTATCTTTTTATTACGTACACGTACGACGGATTTGACGTTTTAAAAACTGAGATAAAGACGATTCGTCAAACGTCGTCTTTTGAAAAGCAATCAAAGGATTCTTTGATCCCTTTGATACTTGGAGCTAATGGACTTCGAATTGTAAAATCATTTTTCAGCCGCCACGATTTTAACATTGAGGGGATCATCGTACGTGTCCTTTCGAGTTTACGATTGGAAAGACCGTGTCCATTCCTCGGTGAACAAGATCAGCTTGGCTTTCAAGGTAAAAAAAATGACAGTAGAAATATCTATCCGTGCATCAGAATTTGATGAGAGATCTAAACTTGCTCTTATAAAATACTTTCAAGAAGCTATTAACATTGTGATTTGAATTGTCGATCAATCTTTTAGACAAAATTCGACGATTCAGCATTATTTTATGCATCTGGTGAAATCGATGGTACACCTCATTACGTAGCAGCATCCATCATGAACGGTTCGGTTTACGTTGAATTAGATTTCGGTCATGATTCCAAAATTGCTACTGTTCTTGGCGATTATGTAACCTCCGATCATTGGAACAATTTAACTATCTTCCACAATGGTTCATTGATATTTGTGAGTTTGGACGAGGAAATTAAAGTACTCGAGATACCTGGGGAAAATTATAATATGATTATAGATCCTGAGATATATATCGGCGGTGGACCAGAATTACATAAGAAAAAGGGTTTGGTGTCGCATAATAATTTTGTAGGTTCGTTTCAACATCTTGATTATACATAATTTATTAACTAAGAGTTTTAATTTAATGTGGATTTTCTTTCTTTTTTCTTTTTTTTCTTTTTTTATCTCGATTAAAAAGTAATTAAGATAAATGAACAAAATTATTTTTTAGGATCATTAAAATACGTATTCTTCAACGACAAGTCAATCATTTACGAACTGAAACGATCTAATCCTATGGTTCATTATATCGGTGTGCTAGAACCAGAGTATTACGAGGCCGACGTCGAGGTCATTCCCATTACGTACCCTTTCGCAGGAAGTCACATTTGGTGGCCTATTGAGAAAACGGATTCTCTTAAACTCAACTTTGATTTTAAAAGTTCCAAACCAATTGCGGTGGTTGCATCAGGAGACGTAAAGAGTAATCGTGGAGTTGGTTATTGGGAGGTAATAAGATCCATTCAATGAATAATGATCTCTATCGATCATAAAAATTTATATGGTATATTGACCTAATTTTTGTCTAAAATTTACTCATTGTTCCTTTTTCTTTTTCTTCTTTTTTTTTTTTCAGCTTCGTTTGGTTAACGACGAAATACGTTTTCAACTAATACCCGTCTCAATAGAAAATATTACAGTATCAACTGCTATTAAATTCCCAACTTACAATACTTCCTGGCATGCTGTAGAACTAAATTATACAAAGGGCGAGCTAAACATTCTAATTGATTATAGAAATAAACAGAGCAAGCTTTTTGCTATGACTTTTGAATTAGGTGACAAGGTAATCATTGGAAGTGGCAAGGGTAACGCTGGTATGTCAATTTTTTCAATAATATCTAAGAAATAAACCTATTAAGTTAAATGATTAACAAGTTGATACATTTTGTAATCAGGTTTGGTAGGTTGTATGCGAGATATTCAGGTAAATGGCCAGAAAATAGAGCCTAGATACATCATAAATACTAAAAAAGTTGTCGGTGAAGTAGCTTTAGATAATTGCCAATTCGTTGATCCATGTAAAAGACCAAATACTTGCGAACACGGTGGTAAATGTTCTGTGAAAGAAGATCGGATAACTTGTGATTGTACGAACACTGGGTATATTGGAAAGAATTGTCATTTTGGTAAGCGTCCCTATTAAAAGCGTCCTATTTAAAACAAAATTATAACAATTTGAAATAATCGTGATCATTAATTTACATTGCAGCAGATAATAAAAAAACATGTGAAGAATTAGCGCTGTTGGGGTATACTCAAGATGACGTTTATACAATTGACATCGATGGAAATGGAAGATTTCCACCTGCTTCAGTAAAATGTGAATTTCAATCTATCGAAGACTCAACTAAGACGATCGTAGAACATAATTTACCATCCCAAGTTGACGTTAGATCCATCGCTGAATCAGATTTTTCGTTTAGTATTAAATACAGACAATTTACTCCAGAGATGCTTCAAGAACTGATCTCTCATTCCCTTTACTGTAGTCAATATGTAAAGTATGATTGTTACAAAGCACCCTTGGAACTTCATAGTGCAACCTGGTTTCTTGGTTCAAAAGGAACAACAGTTGATTATATTGGAAATGTTAACAGAGGATCTTGTCCATGTGGCAGTAAGTTTCTTAAATCATTAATAACTTTCAAACTGATTAAAAAAGACAGCTTAAAGAAAATTCAAAATAATTATTTTTATCTCTTCATTACTTTACAGTGAATAGAACCTGTGTCAATAGCAATTTGAGTTGTAACTGTGATGTGTCATCTGGAAGTGCTGGAAAATGGCTCTCCGATGAAGGTTATTACGAGACGCCAGATGCGTTAGGTATCACTGGTATGGTATTTTTACAACAACGAGATCTCGAAGAGGATGCTCAAGGCCGCATTACTTTAGGACCATTGGAATGTGTCGAGACAAGTATGTAAATAAAATTAACATTACTTGAATATAATTGTAAAATCGATCGTCAAAATTAATATTTTTTTAATTTTCTTTAGACACACAGAAATACGTTGTAACTTTTACGACCTCTCAATCCTATATTGAAGTGCCAGGTTGGCGAAAAGGTGATATAGCTTTTAGCTTTCGTACAACAGGAGAAAAAGCTATACTTCTTTATCAACCACCAATCAGAAGTAATTATCCATCGTTCATGGTAGCATTGACATCAGAATATCGATTAACATTTAACTTTACTCTCAATACTGGAACTATTCGTGACTTGGAAGTAAACAGCCAACGAAAATTAAATAACGGAGAGTGGCAGAAAATTTGGATCGATTATAATGATTACCATGTTAGATTTATGATTAACACTGATTACGCAATGGTCGATTTGTTGCCTGAAGAAGAGTTTGGTCCATTCGAGGGTTCCATGTTCATCGGTGGTGCTACAGCGTAAGTAGTAGATCGATTAGTATTAAAAATTTTTATTAAAAAAATCTAACGATTTATTTATCACAGAGAACATTTGAAAACTTCATCGGTTAGACAAGGATTAATTGGATGTTTCCGTGGTCTTGTTGTAAATGGTGAAATATTGGATATCCATAGTTACATGTCGGTACACCTTTCCGAAATTATTAAAGATTGCAAACCTTCTTGTCAACCTAACAAGTGTCAAAACGGTGCAAGGTGTGTCGAACTTTGGAGCAATTTTGAATGCGTTTGTGAGAACAGATGGGCTCATCTGGGAACTTTCTGTGAGACAAGTAAATTTTTTTTTAATATAAATTAATGTAATATTTAGTTAAAAATTAGTTAACTGGTTAGCTAAGTTAATTAAAAATACATTTATTATTTTATATGATAAACAGTTGATATTTTTAACAGATATCAACAATAAAGCTTTAACATTTACCTCACCGGGTGCTTTTCTAAAAAAGAATTATTTTGGTTCGGATGACAACGGAGAAAAGATATTGTTGAAGAGTATGTTTGAACGAAACATATTAATCAATCTAAGAACTTACGATACTCACTCACTAATACTTTATGCTAATGATCACTTAAACAACTTTGTACATCTTTACATCTCGAATGGTACTAGTATCGTGTATCTCTTCAATGCAGGGAATGAAATTAAAAATATTACTGTGCAACATTCAGGCACGTATCCTTTTAATATTTTTATATATTACAATATACTATTTACTTATAAAAATGATCGTTTTTGTTTTTTTTTTTTTTTTTTGTTTTAACAGGTGTTAACACGGGAATATCAGTACAGATAGCCATCATTCATGGAGAAAAATCTACGACCCTTCATGTGAATGACTATAATGTTACATTGAATGCAACTCCTATACTTTTAGATTCTTATTCTAATAAACCTTGGATTAATCCTGAAAAGGAAGTGTTAGCACCTCAAAGACCACCTGCACCACCAACAGATTATTTCCAAGTATCTATCTATACTTTATATCACTCAAAATTACTCATTTATTTATTGTTCCTAAAACGATTAATAATTATTTTCCTGCCAGATGAATTTAGGTGGTTTTGATCCAGACGATCTTCTAAGAGTCGGAAAGGAAGGTAATCTTACACAAGGATACGTAGGATGTCTTCGAGGATTGATGATTGGCGAGTATCACGTGGATTTACCAAACTTAGCCAGCGAAGCCAATCACGAGGGTAGCAAAGGTGTCCTTCCGAATTGTCAAATGAAATGTGACGCTATGCCTTGTAAAAACTTGGGTATATGTACAGAAGATTTTGGAAGGCAAGAATCCTTTTGCAATTGCGAATTGACATCTTACTTTGGTGAACACTGTGCCGATGGTAAGACCATCATAGATTATTGTGAATGTTTTATAAATATAATTAAGTATATGTATTTATAATTAATTTATTTAAATTTTTCTATATCGATATAATAGAGAAAGGTGCCGATTTCAGTGGTGAGAGTGTACTTCAACGTGAATTCGATCTCGAGGGAGAAGTGAAGCAAGTGAAAGTACAACTAGCTTTTTCAACGAACGAACTACGGCAGCGAACAACGGCATTGTTGCTCTTGCAAACAGAAAACAAGTAAAACCTCTAAGACCCTTGTAATAAAACATAAATGTTTTTCTCGCTACGTAGAGATACCTCTTTTCTTTCCATAACGGAGCGAAGAGATTGCATCAAGAGATTGTCGACATCTGGAATCCGGGATGTCTTTCGAAAAACTTTTTTTCAGAAGAAGCTATTACCTACTCGTGGCCTTAACGTCGGAGGGTCAGCTCATTTTCGAAGAGGATACCGAAGGCATAGCTTATGGTGTACGTCTCAACGATAGAAACTTCTTGAATGGAGCTAGGCATAGCGTTTATTATGTACGAGAAAATAATACGACGATGCTTTTGGTGGGTCAATGAAATGCACGTATTTAATTTATTATATCTATAAACTAATATAATTATTGTTATTATAAATGATAACAGATCGATCGTGAACATGTACAACTCTTACCAATTCCAATACTCAGTTTAGGCGATTACTATGATACTCCAGGTTCGACTGAGATTCAAATTGGTGGATTGAATACTACAGATTCTCGATTTTCTGCTTACAAAGGATACACTGGTTGCCTCAGCAGTAATTATGATTCTAAATATCAATGATTTAATATAAATGTTAAAAATTATTAAAACATTTTATCTCTTCTCTTGAAGACGTTGTTATCTCGATCAATGGCGGACCTATAATGAAACCACTCGAAGAATACATGTTATTTACTAAACAAGGAAGTGAAACTGTAAGAGCAACGATACCGGCTGGCGTCAGGAGTGCACAATGTGCTGTTTTTCATGCACAACCTCGGGGTTTAGAGCCTCAAAGAAACGACAGTGTTGTGAGTGAATGATTCATATATAAATCTAATTTATAAATACATTATCCATGTCAAGGACATTTAAAAAGAAATCCATGGGAAATAATCATTATTGTGGATAATCTTAAGCTATCATCTGAAGTTAAAAAGTCCAATTCGTGAGAAAAAATTCTTTTTTTTTATTTAACATTAGAATACGAAAATGAATGAAAATTAATTTTTACAATGATTGCAAACAACATTATGATAATTAAAACAAATACGCTCGTTATTTCTTTATCATTTTAGGATAAGAAAATTTTATTTTTAAGAATTAAAAGTTGTTTTTGTTTTTTCTTTTCTTTTCTCTATTTTTTTTTTTCTTTTTTTTTCAAGGGAATTAAAGGAGTATGGGCCGAAGATCCACCAGAAAGGATTCTCTACAAATCTCAATACTCTGATGCGACTCAAGAAGAACAAGGTGCTGGGACCTATATTTTCATAGCTTTGTGCTGTTTGTTCGTCGGTGCCGTAATAGGATGTATTTATGAAGTATGGCGAAGTGCAAGAAAGGATAGAAGACGTCGACGAAGTGCAGCAGCTGTAGCTAGTAAATCACCGAGTCCTTCGGGGTCACAAAGGTGGCAACCTCAACAATACACTGATTCGTTGGTCACGACGACTGGTATAAAAACTATTGGCTTTAAAATTACTGATGATGAAAAAAGGCCAAATGGTACTCATATGAAAGCTAGTGCTAAGGAATACAAACCACTGCCTAATACAGAGCCTAAAGAATTGATAAATGATAAAAAGGTTCACATAAAAGGTAATGTCTGAATCTAGATCTTGATGATTTATTTTAATCCTTTGCATTATAAGATCATCGTTAAATTAATAACAATAATTAATTATGTAAATATGTCTATATTAAAATATGTCTATATTAAAATATAGACATATTTACATTATATACTTTTATATTATATTGTGGATAGTAATAGTAAATGTAGTATATTAATAATAATATAATATTATATTAATTATATATATATTTAAAAATAAAAAAGTTGGCCAAGAATAAATTATGAACATAATTATAATACAAAGGATTAACATTATCTCTATCTAATCTCAACGAAAATTCTAATAAAAATTTTATTTAACAGCAGACGAGGAACCAGAGAAAAAGGAGCTGCTAGGGGTAAATACAGGCATCGTCAATAAACCTCCGAAACCAAACCCATTCGTAAAGATATTTTCTTTTTTGTTTCCAATAAGAAGTGCATGACAGGCTTTTACAAGGCTTGCTGAATGGCTTTTGCATGTTACTTTCAAAAATTATTTCATTCTCATCGGTATAAATTCAACAAGTCAATTCAAGAATTTAGATTTTCTAAAAAGAGATTCCAAAAATCACTTTTTATGTATTCTCTATTGAATATGAATCATTGAATCCCTCTCTTCCTCCCCTCTCTTTCTCTTTCTCTCTCTCTCTCTTTCTCTCTCTCTCTCACTCTCACTCACTCTCTCTCACTCTCCCTCTCTCTCTTTCTTTTTCTCTTTCTACTTTGCCCTGCCAAATATATAATAAAATGCGTGCAATAAAAAACCGACTTGTATAAGAAAAGCTATCTATAACACTAGTATTACCACAACAATATTATTCTGGTATATTAAGATATACATATGTATATACTTTATATATATATATATATATATATATATATATATATATATATATGTAGGCCAGAAAGAAAATTAGTAAAAGAGAAAAAAAAATAAATTTAGAAAATTAATTACATAATAGAAAGAATTTAAGAATATCTCATTCAAGTACTTGCGAATATGCTTAAGAACATAATATGGTCTTTGTAGGAAAAAAAAAAATATAAATTTCTCTGTATAAAATGACACAACATAAAAATTCGTAGACCAGATTAGATTTTCTATTACAACAAGAGACAAAAGGTTGTATAGATAATTTTCTAAAATTTTATATATATAAAAAAAAAAAAAAAAAAAAAAAATACCGAAACACTAATCACACTCGGATTGTATTTGGTAAGTCTAGTGTTTCTAGAATCATGCAATTCACAAAAAAAGTTACAAATAGCTTTTCTTAGAGATAATAATAAGTCGGCGATGTGTTATCGATTTTTGTTCTAATATATCTTTTCTTTTTTTTTTCCTTTTTTCCTTTCTCTCTCTCTCTCTCTCTCTCTCTCTCTCTCTCTCTCTCTCTCTCTCTCTCTCTCTCTCTCTCTCTTTCTCTCTCTCTCTCTCTCTCTCTCTCTCTCTCTCTCTTTCTCTCTCTTATAGTCAATGGAGGATCTAAGGGAAGAACCAGAATTAGAAGAATGCGAAGAAGAAGAAGAGGATAATGAAGAGAAAACTGAATTGACGGAAGAAGATGATCAAGAAGAACAGGATGAGGATAACAAAAAGAATGGTGATGAGGAAGAAGAAGAAGAAGAAGAAGAAGAAGAAGAAGGAGAAGGAGGAAAGGATGGTAGTCAAGAGAACGAGGTCCTCTTGAAGTCGGTAAGAGATACGTCACGGAGAATGTCCTTGATCGATAATCCATTGTTAAATGAAGAAAAGGGACTCCTTCAAACGAATTTTTCCGTAACTGGCATAAATGAAATTAAAACAGAATGTATACCAACTGTTAATAACGTTGATACGAATATTGAACAAACTACTACTATTATTAAAAAGGATCCACCAAAACGACCAATGAGTTTAGATCTTAGTGTCCCCATTACGTACAAAAAGCCACACGGAAGAGCTCGTTTTGAAAGAGTTACGGCAAGATTGATCGATCCTCGCGATAATATGTTCAAAACTTAGATAAATTACGCATTTAAAATTTAGGAACCTTTTAAAAGAGATATATATTATCGTAGATATATATATATATGTATATATATATATATACATATATATATGTAGATGTGAAAAGAAATATAAATTAATAAGAGAAACTTATAGTGCCTAGAATATACATATCGCAAAAGTTACGAGATTTAGAATGTATGTTCTACTGCGTTTAGGATGAGATCGTTGAATGCATTTAACAACCCTTAGTGCCTCTCGCGTATCAATAAATAATAATAATAATAATAATAATAATAATAATAATAATAATAATAATAATAATAATAATAATAATAATAATAATAATAATAATAATAATGATAATAATAATAATAATAATAATAATAATAATAATAATAATAGATAAATAGATAGATAGATAGATAGATAAATAATAATATAATGACGATGATGATGATAATAATTATTATAGTAGTAACAATAACGTTATAGAATTTAAGCACTATAACAACGAAACGATATACGATCGATCCTTTAATCTTGCAATAAAACAATTTTGTCAAGATTTTTCTATCTAGATTCGGGTATATATGAGCGAAAATATTAGACAAACTAGAATTGTTTAATTTGATAATTAACGTGAAACAATGATAATAATTTTCCAATTGATATACGTATACATACATACATATATACATACCTATATATACACACGTAAATTCAAAACGTTTAAATTAAAAAACGTTTAATTTTATACTTATATGGGGAGACAAGTCATTGTACTAATCGCTATCATTGTAATTTTCATTTCACTATTCAATTCCCATATAATTCAACACTAATGGCACGGTTTTTTATCTACACTGCCTGCTTAGAAATATAATCGCACGAGATTACAAAAGAAAAAGGTAAAAAAAAGGTTGATACATGTATTTGTCAAATTGATCCAATGTTCGATCATTTTTCAGCTTGTTTTCTCCATATACATTTATGTTACACATATACATATACATGTGAGGCCACTTACTTACATGCGCACAATGTTTCGTATGCTTGTATGCTTGCTATGATAATGAAAATCAAAGTTAATGACGATTTACCCGTATTTATGCGTATCAGAAAGAATGAATGTGTGTGTGTGTATCTGTGTGTATCTGTGTGTATCTGTGTGTATGTATGACAAATTTTTCAAATTTAATTTCATTAAAATGATTCAAAAGTCACTTATCATTCATATCTGTATTAGATGTTTTGGTTCATTATTAGCAGCTTTAAACAATTGGAAAAAATAATATTGGTGTGCTTTTGGTGGCGATATTATTGTGTTTATAATATGAATCATTCATAAATGTTTTATAGATAAATATATAAAAATAATAATAGGAAAGAAAAGTTAATTAAATATGAGAGAAGCTCCAAGATGGCGTCGATAAACGTTCACAGCTGATTTATTTACCATCACATCGCGATTTCGATCTTAATTTTTTTGTTTTTTCACCGTTTAATTCGTTTAATCGAAATCGTAATAACAATTTCAGCCAAGGAGTTCGTCTAGCACGAACGTCGATGAGAACGTTGTCGTAACACCGAATACCATTCTCCAAACAAATTCTACGTGCGAACTTTAGAGGTACTTTTATTTTGTTTTCTTTCCATTACTTTCTTTTTTCTTTATTTTTTTTTTTTTTTACTTATTCTTTCTTATTTCTCTTAACCTGCACGTGAATTTATTTTTCTTTGTCTTTTTCTTTTCTATTTTGTTTTTTTCTTCTCCCTCTTCTTCCCCATCTTCTTTCATCAGCTCTCAAAGTACTATCTCTTTTTATCAATTTTCTCGATTCTCGATGGAATGCATTTATTGCTTGACGATGATCTTGAAGCTTGCAAAAAGAAAGAAGCGTAATCCAGTGCGTTGAAAATCGTTAAATGATACTGTAATTCTAACGATAGAAACGATAAAATCCTTTCCAAGGGCAGTGTTTTATATAGCATGTTATATAAACAGTACAAAGGAAAAGAAGAAAAAAATATATATATACATATACATACATATATACATATATATATATATAGACATATATATATATATATGTATATACATAAACATGTTTTCCAAGTCCAATCCAATTTTTTTGCACCATTCTACCCACACGTCAATTTTCCATATATTCCTCGAGCCTGTTACATGCGAGTTAAAAAAAAAAGAAGAAACACAAAAAAAAAAACAAAAAAAAACCTTATCGTGTCTTGCAACGACTCATCATGATCTTGGAACGGCTTCTACTAATAACAAAACTGCGCATATGGTGGAAATCGTTTATACATGTACAAAAGGACAACTATTGCTTGCATCGATTGTTGTACGTCCAACGACCAGGAACGTCTCGTTTTATTGCATCGCATGCTGTTATCTCGCTTCAAGACGCAAGGACGTACATATGTGTCCTTTCTAAGACATAGACATGTATGTAATTAGCTTATAAAATAAACAGACTACAAATTTCTGCCAGCTAATTATTGAAATTTATAAAGATCAACATAGATGGTGTTATATACATATGAGAGAACATAAATGATCGATCGATCATAATCATTTTTCATTAAATTTTAACTAACCAAGAACTAATCATGAAGGCAAACGAAATTTCGTCGTTTCTTGTATCTAGCATCGTGGCAAGGATTGATTAATCGCATCCACGTTGTTCCTATTATGGAAATATTAGTTTGCAAAGGAAAAGATATGTTTAAAGGGAATATTCATTATATGTGTATAGGCTAGCATGGACAATAACACTGGACAACGTTCGAAAGCCCCTGAACGTTCGCCGACGTCGACAGGTCAGTGTGATCATCATCATCATCATCATCATCATCATCATCATCATCATCATCATCGTCATTTTCTTCTTTTTCTTCATCCATCACTTTATATGTACGAAGTACACTCAGATTCTAAGGTCTCCTAATTTTCATTTTCTGAACTACTTATATCAAAAAGTTTAAACTACTATCTCTTTTTATCATAGTCGTTCTCTCTCTCTTTCTCTTTCTTTCTCTATATATGTAAACATTTTTCACAAGGTAAAAAAACGCCGTAATCGCAAAATTGTTGTAAACAATTTTTCTCAAGCGAGAAATCTCTGATGTAAGAATGACAATGATTGAAAAATGAACTGCCGCGAAGAGTGTCGTTCGGCTTAAAAAAAAAAAAGAAAAAGAAATAAAAAATCGCAAGGTACAAGGGAATTTCAGGTGAGTTAAGAGCATGAGGGATTAATTCGAAGTTGTTGCCGTGAAAAAAAAAAGAAAAATAAAGGAAAAAAAATCGTTGGCTATTAATCGCTATATTTTCAACAGCAATAATTTTTCAATGAACAAAACAGAACTCTTGAAGGATCGTTCAGAGCAGCCATGTAATCATAAAGACAACGTTGTAAAAAAATGTCTACATATACACGAATTGAGAAATTTTATACCTTTCTGAACTTTTTCAATGAGATTAATTTGAGAGACCTTAGAGAACTTTAATGCAAATTCATATATCCTTTTTTATACATGCTTCTCTCTCTCTCTCTCTCTCTCTCTCTCTCTCTCTCTCTCTTTCTCTCTCTCTCTCTCTCTCTCTCTCTCTTTCGTTCTCCTTCATGGCAGCAAGACAATAGTAATTATTCTCTCCCTCTTTTTTTTTGTCTTCTTTGTTGATTTTGTAGATACCAGAAAACCTTTGGTCCTGAACATGAGCCCTATCTATCTGTCGGATGATTGTCGGACTTTCGGCAATCCTCTAAGCTATCTAGGAGGTCCAAGACTACAACCAAGGAATAGAAACTCTATAGAGTCCGTTCTGTCCTTGGACTGAATATTTCCGTCGTTTCTCTTTGAGAGAATTATAAGAAATACAAGAATTTCATATCCTAAATTATAGAAAAATTTTATTTCCTTTTTTTCTCCTCTTCTCTTATATTGAGTATTCGAGGCAAGAGCTCGTTTTGAGAAGATCTGAAAATGTTTAGGAAAAATATATTTTATTTTTCGTATTTACAAATAAAAATGAACAAAAAGAACAAAAAATAAATAAATATATATATATATATATAGAAGAAGAGGATTAAAAGAAGAAAATGCAAAAGTTCATGACGAAATTCCGTAGAATACGTATATACAAAATGTATTTGTGTATTATAACAAAATCGTCATCTTAACCCTAGTCAAGGTTTCCTTTCATTTTCTCTATATTATATATATATATATAGAAGAAATATATATATATATAATATATACATACATACATACATACATACATACATACATACATACATACATACATACATACACACACACACATACACACACACACACACACACACACACACACACATATATATATATATATATAACGTACACAATATCTCCTCTTCCCCATCCAATAAAATTCATAAATCAGCTCGTTAAATCGAAATGGACGATTATGATACCGAGCAAAAAGTGTGAAATCTAAGACAATGCGAATAATAAGGAGAAAAAAATAACAAAATATTGTTTGTGTGTATATCTATAAGGAAAGTGTGAGAAAAGATGAAACAACATATCTTTTTCATTTCTTTCTTCTTATAGTTCAAAAAAGAAAAAAAAATAGGATATTAACGAAATAAGATGTTCTTTCTCATTTCTCTGCAATCGTCGTAGTAAACTGTTTAAAAAAAAAAAAAAAGAAAAAAGAAAAAAAATTGAAAAAAGAATAAAGAAATAAGAAAAAAAAGAACATTATATAATAAATATAATTGATAATGTTAATTACTAGGAGTACAATAAAAAATTAATAATGTATAACAAATACAGTAATACAAGTGTATGGAGTATTTCTGCCATTTTCTTTCTGTACCATCTCCAAAAAAAAAAAGAAAAGAGATCGTACCCTTCATATCCTAATACGAAATAGTATAATATTATTTCCTCTTTTATGTATTATGTCTTTATTAACCCTTTAAATGTATTTGACAATTATAATCGTTGTGAGAAAAAAATTATGAAAACTTTCGCTATTGAACTTTAAATAACTTTCGCTATTGAAACTTAAAAAAAAAAAAAAAAAAAAAAAATTGAAAGCTAAAAAACAATATTCGTAAATTCAAGATATTTAAGAAAGCATTTAGAGACAACGAAAAAAAAAAAAGAAAAAAGAAAAAAGGAATCCGTCAGATAATTGAACATTTTTTTTTTCTTATGGTTATTTGTTACCAGAATTTCTATTAATTTCTGTATTATAAATTTCATTAGATCTGATTTCTTTTGTAAAATATATAATAATTACGTTTTCAAATTTCAGAACTGTATCTATTTTGATAAAAAAGAAAGTAATATTTTTAAGATATTTTTATTGCGAAATTTATATAAGTTTTTTTATTAATACACACACTCACATCCACAATTTTTTTTATCTCAATAAAAGAACGTGTTATTATAATTTATAATAATTGCTTAAATTAGAAATTTGTTAAAAAAAAATATTATTTGTTATAATCTCAACGCGATAGTTTTTTCTCATACTTATAAAAATAAATGTTTTCCCTATATTGAAAGTACGTCATACTGTATGATTTCTAAAAGTAAAGATTTAAAAAAAAAAAAATCAATTTTCAATTTAAAAAATCAAAATCAAAATTCAATTAAAAAAAATCTCCGTTTTCTTTTCAAATTGTTCCGTCTAATTTTTAAATATCGAAGCCATTCTTTGACAATTTTACCATAGTGACGATATATACGACGCTTCGATGGTTGGATAGATAATATTAAAAAAAAAAAAAAAAAAAAAAAAAAAAAAAGTATAATTTTCTATAATGGCAGCGTTCTGATATCGTATACACATTTATTTTCAATTGTCATCTATTAAAAACATATTATATGAACCATTCGTTTCACCATACTCGAAAAATAAAGTACAATCTTATACATTACAATTCCAATTGTCAAGAATACTGTTCTAGGAATTTTCTATTATAATCATTCACAACTTTTATATATACGCAACTATTTCATAAATAGAATACCAGCCAATCAGCGACAATCGCATTTCTTCAGAAACATAGGGATAAATCTTCCATAAATAAATCGTACGCTTTAATTTGATACCTTTGTACGAAATCTTATAATTTATTCGGTATCGTTGGATGATTGAAATTATTAGAATTTAGACGGACTACTTCAATTAATGTATTTTGACATTAAACTTTCCATTTTTAAAGACTCATGATACTTTACGTACTTGATACAGGCTGAAGCTAAATTATAATTACACGATGAATGTCCAATACTAAATGTAATCAATTAATAACTTTGTAAAGTATTAAACAGAATCTATTCCCTAGATTATATATATATATATATATATATATATATATATATATCTATTTTGAATGTTAAGCCAATACATTTCTCTTATATATTTTCTTTCGAACTGAACAATTTCATATAAAAAAAATTTGAAATATACAGTAAAATCGGTTTCATAGTTTAAAATTGAACTATTAAAGAGTGTGATAACGTAACCTCACTAATATTGAATATATTCTCTTACATATTAATTGTATATTTATTAATCTTTATTAAGAAAAAAAAAATAAATAATGGAACAATTGGAAGAAGCATTGCTAGCAATAATAGTATTACGTACTAGTGTTGATCAATTTTTCGGAGTTTTTCTAAATAATTTACATGAAGAAAATGAATATAAACATGTCGTACGTTTACAAGGATTAATGACAACAATTAATATAAATTTAAGGTATACGATTTAGTTTTATATTTTTTATTTCAAAGTAAAGATAATTACTCATATAATATATATATATATATATATATATACAAATTTTGCAGAAATTTAACTGAAAAAATTAAAATTTTGGATCCGCTATTATATCCATTAAATTTGGGAAGCATAACTGATCTCGATGAGGAGACTGCAGAGCAAAGGCAAGCACTTTATAATTTTCTTATTAACAATTATTAATAGATAAATAAAGTTCATAACAATACTTAAAAATCATTATTTAAATACCATTACTTAAGTGAAATTTATTAAAGAGATATTATACAAATATCAATGGAACATATGATTACTAGTTCAAACTAATAATCATAATGTAAAATATATCTCCAGATATGTAAAGTCTTTTATAATAATAAAAAATGTTATGTTCATAATATGTATAACATAACAAAAGTTTAAATCTTATTTAAAGGCAAGTCAATTCTATGATAACTACCTTAAATCAATTGTTTGATGATATGACAGTGTCTGTATCCAAATCGGTCACATCAATTGCAACATTTGATGTTATATTAGGACATGTCTTAAAGGCAGTAATAGTAATTAGGGGCATAGTGATCGAATGGGTTGTTATAAAAGGTTATGAAGAATCAATGGATTTGTGGACACAATCGAGGCATAAAGTCTTCAGAAAAGTAACAGAAAATGCTCTTGCTGCTATGTTACACTTTTATTCTACAGAATGTCCTGAATTAGCTGTACAATCATTTATGGTAATACGAATTATTTATAAAATAAAACAGAATGATCACAAATAAATATCACAAATAAAATAGAAATAATACAAAATCACTCGTTACTTATGAGAATATGTAAAAATTTGATGCCTTTTTTTTTCTAGATTTGGTTGCATAGTTTAATCAATTTGTTCATTGAACCATGCAAACATTGTGGTCTATATCTAAAACAAGTTTCACTTCCAACGTGGAGAGATTTTAATACTTACGAAGCATATCATGAAGAATGTAAATCTTGTGATATAACTGAAGATTTTATAAGTTCAAATTAAATCCATTACTTTTCATAGAATTTTTCTTTTGTAAAATAAGACATTATTACAATTGTTATCTTTCTTTATATGACCGAATTATTATCTGCACCACGATTGTTAACACCTTCAAAAAGTGTACTTAGGATTTATAGCTATTTACGTCTAATTAGTTAATCACTAAAAAAGGATAAAGTACTTAGGTTGGAAAGATTTTATGGTTACATATATATTATTAGTTTTAGTTATTTTTCTTTTTTTCTTTGTAAATTTTTAATTATCTCTATGTATTAATAAATAAATTTATAAAAACTTTGTAATTATTACGTTGATATATACTTGTCTGCTATCTAATCAACACTTTATACAGCTAACTCATTTTGTATTTTGTGTAAAATATGATTAAAATATGGAAGGAGATTACTTGAGTGACTACTTTATTTGAAGTTCTACATTGCTGCATGCATTTGTGATAGGTTAATGTATTTCATCACGCACTTGTCACCAATATCTTTTTCTTTCAGAACATGATTTTTTACAAAATTGTTTTCTCACTTTAAATCAATAAAATTTAGATTTACATATTCGACAATATGAAAATTATTCGTGCGTCGACCGATAAATACGCACATGACTCATTAGATGGTGCGCATAGACGAGAGAGTGTGGTGATCTCTTTGCGACTATTACGCCTCTTCTGGCAAGGCACATAACTAACAAACCTTAGCGCCACTAACACACACGTGAGAAATCAATCAAACAAAGAGAGAGAGAGAAAGAGAGAGAGAGAGAGAAAGAGAGAGAGAGAAAGAAAGAGAGAGAGAGAGAGAGAGAGAGAGAGAGAGAGAGAGAGAGAGACACGACAACGACAACAAAAATGCCGATAATAAAGAAGACGATAAAGACTCCAGAAACAAAAAAGAGATCATTTTTTCTTTGATTTTTCTTGAGATTATAGCTGTTGAAAGTGATAGTCCGATTAAACTACTGTGTACCTAACAAAGTTAAGTAAATATATCGCAATTATTGCTTAATGTGTAAAATTTCTTTTTACATAGTTGGTTATCCACGAAAAACCAATAATTGATGACCCCGACATCGTGATCTTTGTGCATCAAGAGCTTCTTTACTAAAAGAAAAATGTATCGGCGTCAGCCATCCTGCCTCATTATGAAACACAAGGTGCAAAAAAAAAAAGAAAGTAATAAATAATAAATATTAAAAATTACAACAGAACATCTGAAAAAAAAAAAAGATAAACAAATACCGAACACCATATTAAAAGCCAACAATGTATACACAGACCTATTAAGATTCGACGCGAACCTAAATTAGATCTCCACGAATTCACGATAATGGCAAGTTAAACACATTGAGATATCAGTGATAAAGGAACTCATTCTGAACAAACGTATCAAAACAATAACGGACAAGAGATGCCATTAAACACTTCAACAGTATCATCCATCCCATCAGTGTCAATGGACAGGAACAACAGCAAAAAAATACTTCTGGTATGCAGAACCTGCACAACTATAATCAACTATTAGCTCTTAACAACATACGGTGTGACACTTATCACTCGATAAGTCAATCTAAATTCATGACATTCACAAAAACTCGACCGTATTCTTAGTTCAATTTGGTTGAATCTAAATTCACCATTTATGGAATCATCAATGATAAAGTAAAATACCTGATAGTCATTAAGGCCTTGGATCACAACATGATGGAGCAATTTTCAAACATAATACGGCAGGAGCTCGCCACAGATAAATATAAAATTTTTAAGAATGTGATAATCTCAGGACTTCCTGATTTCAGGCACAACCAAATAAAAAAACATTTACGTAAGATAAGACTTGCAAAGAGAACACCTTCTCAGTTTCTGTGATACATGCGCACATTGGCTAGTAGTTTCATTGATAATACCATATTGCAACAAATTTTGGTTTGAACAAATGCCAGCACATATCAAACCGTATCTGATTAAAGTAAGTGAACTTCCGCTTGATATTATAGCCGTGTTTGCGGATTATTTTTACCAGCTGGTACCCAACAATCTACAGAATGACTTAGTCATGAGAATCTTCGCACCCTATTTTGCATTGACTCTTTTGTGTACTGACCCAAAGATTATGGAAATTCAAAGATCTTTTTTTATGTATATGACAGAGATCATTGTTTAAATTAACGCAAAAAAACAAACAACAGTATCTATAACAGCTCACATTACTGCAACAACAAAATCAACAACTGCAGTCCCAACAATCTCCGATGCACCATAACTGCAGCAGACCAAGGTCATTGATATCTGCACGCACTGACATCTGTTATTATCACCAAATGTTTGCCAACGAAACAAAACGCTGCATCTTATCTTGCAAATTCGCTTCAACAACCACACTGACAAATCAGGAAAATTAACATCGCTGTTTTCAGTAGGAACAGTGAATGACAATAACTCCATACTATTGGGTTGGCAACTAAATGATTGCGGATTTTAAATAAGAAGGAAAATTCCAAATTTTTGCTTAAAAATATAACTTTATTCAATTAGGTATTGTCTGTTTTTGTTGATGACATCTTTTGCCATCTTTCAGGCAGTGTCATAATTCCATGTTCATAAAACTTTCTGATTTTTTAGCCAAAAACTAAATTAAATGTGATTTTACATCACTAGCGTCATTAAAAATTTTACCATTTAAGAAGTTCTACATGGAACGAAATAAATAAAAAAACGTCCAACTATACATTTACGACAACACAACCAAACAGAAATTCCTGATTAAGTCTGGGTCGTACTGCCATATTACCTGCTAAAAGGTTTTGTAAAAATCGAACCAGACCGATTGTTCATCACAATAAAGCCAGGATCTTCATTCTAAAAGACTTTGACACCTGTCTTCATATATTCCTGCGCTGTAATTACGTGAAAGCTCCACTAGAAGCACTGTACATTGGTCCATATAAGATTATAGACTGAATAAGTGATTGGATATTCAAAATTAACATTAACAGAGAAGAGAAAAATATTTCAATAGACAGATTGAAGCCTGCATACATCAGCAAGATAGACAATGATCAACCGGACTCTTCACCAGATCAACAAACCCAACCCCACATCACTGGGATTCCATTACGGATAAATTTAAATTAACTTATACACGTAAAGTCAATTTCAAACTTCTCAGAGAAACTCATTCAGGGAGGAGTGGTTGTGCCAACCTCGTTGCGACTGTTACGCCTCCTTTGACAAGAGGATAATTAACACGCTATAATTAATACGCCTTGGCGTCACCAAACACACACGTTGGAAACCTATCAAAAAAAGAGAGAGACAACAAGAAGGATATTGGAAACAAAAGAAGTCTCTTAAAATCATCCATCTTGATCATCGTTAAAATTAATTATTGGATTAAACTATTGATTAAACTACTGATACCTGATAAAGTTAAATAAATATATCTTAATCATTATTTGATTCGCAAAGTTTCTATTTACATAATGGATTATCCACGAATAATCCACAAGAGGCTTGTACATAATATCGGACTTAAGATTGTTCAACATTCCTGATTTTATAATAATTTATTAATAAAATATAATAAAAAGAAAAATATTCTACATTATATATGATAATGATGATATATATAATAATAAAAAAGAGAAAGAATATATTATAGTTATATAAGATGACAAGCATAAATACGATAAAAAAGATTTTCTATGCTATTTTCTAAGAAATTATCTTTGAATTTAATTATATCTTATCTATTTTTCTCTTGAAATATTATTGACAGTATAAAGTTTTAGTATTTTAATGTTTAATCAAAATTAGATTAAATTGGAATGCAAAAGAAAACTAATGTGATAATTGTCAAAGTTAATAAAAAAATTGGATATATTTATATTACACGAGTACAACAATCTACCCTGAAATTAAAAATTTTTAAGTATTGAAATTTTAAATTAAAATTATTTTAAATTTCTGTCGTGTTACCGTCATTTTAATATTTAAACGAATGTACTATTGTTTAAATATTAATTTATTTCATTGCGCGTACATTAAAAATTGTTTAAATAATAATAAAATTACCGAGAGTATTAATATTCTAATTTGAAACGTTTGAAAAAAGATATTTTTGATGTTCCCTTGTTATAAAATAAATGAAACAATTCTGAGTTTAAAGTTTAATAAATTAAAATTATTTTTAATTTTTATTAAAATGCATATTGCAAGCTATATAATGTTACAACGAATTTATTATTATTTATAAATTAATTTATAGTATTTTCTATATATCAAATTGCACGTAGACTAAGATTCATCAAAATATTCAAAAAAGTTATCACAGACGTTTAAACAATTATCATTAAAATGAGAATTTTATTGATTATTTAATTTTATTATATTGTTCGTGATAATCGATCAAAAGTTATGCTTCGATTGAGATTATTTTGTTTAAATCATTATAAAATTAAAATTGACGAATATTTGTAATTCTTCATAATTTGAAGAAAGAAAAGAACTATACTTTAACAAATTTATTCGCATATACATGATATATATCATTCGATTTATTGACTGTCGGTAATAACATTAATGCCAAAAGTATTCTGAAGATGTCAGGACGATATATGGAATTGAATACCACCATGATTGTTTCCAAGTTGGAAGTGTTACCACACACAGGTAGTTAAATTATAGCGCGAATCCGCGGGAGATCGTTCGATTGTGCGAATAGTGGTGTGTCTTTCATCGAGTGCCCTTCAAGTGTACATACGGCGGAATATATAGAATATTATTCCTCATGTATATATATATATATATGTGTGTATATATATATATATATATATAGAAAAAGAGTGAGTGAAAGAGAAAAAGGAAGTAAAAGATATTTGAAGTAAGACCATGTCGCGTCGTGTACGCTTTCGACCGGTTCCGGTAAGCGAGAACGTTTTTTTAAAAATCAATAAATAAAAAAAAATAAAATAAAAACAAAAAGTACACCGATTTTTCAAGCACTCGCATTCGATCATCGCGATTAAAAAAGAAAAAAGAAAAGAAAAGAAAAGAAAAAAAAAAGAAAAGAAAAGAAATAGGACCAAAAAAAAAAGAAAAAAAAAAGAAAGAAAAAGAAATAAATCTTATTCTTCGGTCAAGGGTGAATATCGGCCATATTGCAAAGATTATAAAGTGCTTTTGCATATTTTACATTGATATTATTTCGCGGTGTCAATTAATGATCAAGAAATACGTCGTAAAACGAGAACAATGAAGAATTGAGGACGATAATGTGGATCGCCGCGAATAAGTGAGTATTTCCTTTTATAATATATATAATATTTATCATTTTTCTTGTCTTTTGGCCTCTAATTTGATCTCTCTCTTTCCCTCTCTCTCTCTCTCTTTCCACTTTTATTTTTCTTTTTTTCTTTCTTTCCTTCTTTCTTTCTTCCTTTCTTTCTCATTAGTCGATATATATATGTAAACATTCGTTGATGTGCTCGAGGTCGTGCTCCAAGCTAAATAGTCTTCCGGTTATCGATCTTTCGATCGAAGGATTTCGTATTGTCTTTTCCTTTCCAAAGGTCAATTCGAGACATAATGTTTCTTGTTTATTTTTTTATTTAATGTACATCGAAACATTTATTTATTCTTTCCCTCTCTCTCTCTCTCTCTTTCTCTCTCTCCCTATCACTCTGTCTCTCTCTCTTTCTCTCTCTCTTTCTCTCTTTCTTCATATGAAAAATAAAAACATATGTTACGACTATTATCGAAAAAAATTTTCAGATTATATATATTAAACGTCGTTAAAAAAAATAACCTCATAAAGATAGTGTTTCAATATTTAATATATTTGTTATAAAATATTAATTATTTATTATAATATATTAACGTGACGATGTCATTAAATTTATTCTCGGTCCTATTCTGGTTCGTTGCTAACGTTATAATGTTTTTCTTTCTTTCTTTTTTTTTTTTTAATTTTTTTTTTAATGTTTTTTTATTTTTTCTATCTTTTTTCAAGTTTTACGTCACAATAATAATCGCATCTCCTTTTAATATCGCGTTAGAAAGGGTGTTGCGACGAAAGGTTAGATGTTACTGCGATTTGACGTTCGATCGATAAAGTGAAAATAGTACTTGATAAAAAAAAGTCCGTCGATTCGGGAAGTAGGAAGGATCGGGGAGAGGGGATAGTATCGGATAGAGAGAGATGAAATCTTTAGTGATCTAAATATCACCATGGAAATTTGCTAGTAAATTTCGATGGTCTCATGCAAAATTGAAATATCGATTTGTGCGGCATTGTTAGAAGGAGGGGAGATATAGCAGGTGGTAAAACACGTGGCATGCGTAGAAAAGTTGCACCAGTCTTTTCTCCCGGCATACATGCATATCTCATTTCGTGCTTCCTTTCTTCCCGCCCTCCGCTCCTCACCCTATTCTTCTCCTCCTCCTCCTCCTTTCCTTTCTTCATCCCTTCTTTCTCACGTCTCTCTCTCTCTCTCTCTCTCTCTCTCTCCCTCTTTCGTCCATTCCTCCCCTTTTAATCTTCCCCTTTAACTCCCCTTTTAATAAAAATGACGAAACAAAATCGAGTAATTTATTCGCTGTTAAATGTCTTGTATGTATATATATATATATATATATATATATATATATCAGACACACCTACATACATATATATCGAATCGATAAATTCAACAATAACGCGCTAATCGAAGGTCACGTGATTAACCACTTGCGGTGGAAAGACGTACCACGCACGTCGAGATGCTTCTGTTACCGTAACGCCAGCGACGTGTGTAACACGTCGTCAGGCGATTATTGTAGAAAGAAAAATGACGTGCGTGGTACGTCAACCGTGAATTTCTTTGCACCGCAGGTGGTTAACGGGAAAAATATATTATATATAAATATATATATATAAAGAAAAAAAATAAAATGAAAAGAAAAATAAAAAAGAAAAAAGAATTACAGCGCACATTTGCACGTCGTAGGTGGTACACAACGGTGTTTGTTCGAAATCGAGAATAATCGTCGTTTTTATATTGCCGTACTAGGATAACATGAGACGCGTATAAAATTACTCAGGGGTAAAGGGATACCGTACGATTAAATTAATATCCTAACCTACCCGTCGGTCCTTCTCCTTTATTACTCGTCACTTTCGTCCGCTAACCGGCGATTTAATAACATGATGGGTTTAAATTTCCGCGCCCTCGTGTCCCTTAGCATATCGTCAGGGTCGGATCGAAAGATCGAGGATCGAAAGATCGATGGACGAATCGAAGGATCATTGGGAATAATCGTGGAATCGAGAAATCTTTTGTTACGGATTTTTTTTTTTTTTTTTTTTTTTTTTTTTACTTGAACGAACTTCATTCAATTCATTTATCTTATTTTATAGCTTCTTCGCTTAAATAAAAATCGATAGCTATGACAAAAAGAAAACGAAAATGAAAAAAGAAAAAAGTATATTCTGATAATATCTCGTACGATATAGTTTAATAACAAATGAAAAAAATCTTTAATGTTTAACTTGAACAAAAATCTAGGAAAGATAAAAGAAACAGAAGGAAAGTAATATCAATTCATTATATCCTTGATGATCGTAATATCGATCATCGTTTCCGTTATCGAGATTTTTCATTCGATATCATCTTTCTCATTCTCCTGTATCCAATAACTAAGAAAAGTTTAAAGTGTCGTACTCGTTAATATGTATTCGTTCCCAAAAAAGACTCGAGTTTCTCATCTAAAAGAAGAAGAAAAAGAAAAAGTAAAGAGAATAAGAGGAAAGGCTAAATATTCAAAGAGAAATAATATAATAAAAATGTGACAAAATGCATAAAAAAGAAAGAGAGAGAGAGGAAGAGGGAATCTTCCTTATCGATGATTTAGCGTTTTATCAAGCTTCCAATTTCGTAGTCGATATCAGTATAACGAGAATCGAAAGAACAGTTCCCTCGAGATCGAATTAGAGGCGTAACATACGTTATATATATACACATGTATACATATATGTATGCATATATATATATATATATATATATTGTGTAATTTTAATATATTGTCAAGTGTCTTTTAGAAATCTATAATTATATTATATGTAGGTCAAATTTTTGGGATGGAAATGTTCGAATGTAATCGAGCATTCTTTACAAACAAACTAACAAATTAACATATTAACAAATCATTAATTGTAGATGAATCATTTTTTTTAAATGTATTTACATATATAAACCCTTTCAAGTCAAAATATAAATTTATCCAAAAACTTGATTTCTTCGTTAAAAGTAATCGGGATAGATATACGTCACGATTTTAATTTTATGCGAGTCACCCGTTATATCCATGTGCATGTAGATATAGACACATACATAGTAACGCAGATACATAAATACATATATACATATATATATACATACATACATACATACATCATACATACATACATACATACAT